ATGAATCTCAGTATTTGTTTTATCTTTCTTTCTGTCATTAACATCATTCCTGTCATTTCCTTAGTGTTTATATATCCAGGTGTACATGTCGGCCAACTTTTCCTTTATGTACAGAATTCTGGCTTTGTTCTTGCCGCCCATAAAGCAAACAGAATCTGGGCTGATCCCAAAACGCTAGAAGAACTAGCCAACCGCTGGGGACAGTTCGCAGTTAATCTGAAGCACCTCAGTGTATGATATATATATATATATATATATATATATATATATATATATATATATGGGATTAAGACAAATATAGTATTTGTCCTTAGCCGATTGTTGTTATATTCAACACTTCTATTCCGGAGTTTCGTAGACGAACCTTTGGGTAATTTTTCGGTACATTCATCAGGAGATATCAGAATATATATATATATATATATATATATATATATATATATATATATATATATATGTGTGTGTGTGTGTGTGTGTGTGTGTGTGTGTGTGTACGATAAAAATATAGCTATATAATTTTAATTTATGCCATATTTAAAATTGTTCAATATCAGGAATAAAGCACCTTGCTCGTTCCTCGCGCTTTCGACTAATATTAATTAATATAACTATAAAATATTTTTTACATATCCCATTTATTTTAAATACCAAATATATTTTTTTAAATTAAAAAAAATTTAATTCCAGTATAATATATAATTTCGCCAACATTCCCATAAACAGATAATCTGTCTATAGAGATAATCTGTTTATAGAGAGTACTTGAAGATTGCGTTGTGCATGCAACTCAAAGTCGTGCTAATGGTGAGGGATAATACACACACACACACACACACATATATATATATATATATATATATATATATATATATATATATATATAAGTGAAAATTGAAGTCAACACTTAGGGGCGACAATCTCTTTTCATGATAGACGCAATCGTCAGGCCATATATATATATATATATATATATATATATATATATATATATATATATATGTATATATATATTCATGCAAATAGATCAATATTTGATGAAATTGAAGAGGCTAACACTGTGGCACCATTTAACGAGGCAGAAAAAGAAAAGAAAGAAAAGAAGAGGCTAAGGACCGAATCGTGGATGATAAGCAGAACACACACACGGCTAAGAGGCAATGGATAAAGGGATATGAAAACAAACTATTGTTACGGGAAGGCATCTTATTATCAACTACAGGCCGACAGGCCAAAGAAAAATTCAAATGAAAATGTTATTTCGATAAGTGACGATAAACAGGCAACTAAAAGGACTTTGGATATATAGGAAAAAATAATTGTATCAAAGCCACACACACGACTGTCCATTGACCGAATTCTTTCGACGGAACATCCTTGGCCTGCGATAATAACATTATGTTATCAGAAATATGTACCGAAATGAAATGAATGGGAATTTAGAAATGTCTTTTCGGGGCGACGTTGGCCATGTTATGAAGACAGCCCATTCGGATAATTAGCGATAAAATACCTTACGAAAACCACGTGTAGAACAAGAGTTATGACCGCCATTGTTCATATTGTCCCGTTTGCGGCTAGAGAAATGATAACGGCAATTAAGAGGAAGAAAAGGAAAAGAAGGGATAATTTTTTTTAGTTAAGCAAGATATTTTTTTCTTCCGCGGATTCGTCCACGCCCGACTAAGACATCATTGTTCAAGTGGTGATCACGTGACGCACGAAGGAGGAGGAAAGATAATTTTTCTTAGTTAAGCAAGATATTTTTTTTCCGAAACAAAGCCGCGGATTCGTCCACGCCCGACTAAGACATCATTGGTCGAGTAGTGATCACGTGATGCACGAAGGAGGCTGTCGCCGCCTCATCCAGAGTGTAGGTATGAGAAGCTGCTACGAAGAAGTGGGGAGGGCAGTTCACGCCCTCTGAAGTATGGTGAGAAGGTGGGAGTGAGGAAAGGTTCCCAAAAATGGAAAAGAGTGGAAAATCCCTAACCAGAAATAAAAGAGGTGGATATGTATTTAGAATTATCGAGGAAACCCCGACGCCGACAGACCCACCCCGGTTTTGGTCGGCGTCCATATAAGCGAAGCCCCAACGAGCAGAAATCAGTTCCAGTGAGTTCAGTTCCAGAAAAGCTTGAGTTGAGTCTCCAGTTGAAGCCGCCTCGCAGATAGCTGACCAAGATTCACGCAAATTCCGGACTCCTCTTCAACCCAAGAACAATTATTTTGAAGAGCGACTTAGATCCAGACCACCGAAATAAGTGTTTTTCGACTTTCGTCCAAAGACACACCGAAACACCAATTTCTTAGAGAGCAAACAACTTGAAGCGTTAAAACTTGCCTAACGGAAAACGACGTGTCACAATCCATAGAACGGGTCGGGAGATAGATGCAGTCCTATGTATCGAACAACTAGACATAAAGTTTGTTACCTTTTTCTTTGATACTTTGAACTTTTGAGTTTTCATTTTATTTTCTTTTATGCATATTTGTGTGGTATCACCCCCGTTGAACTCGGTTTGCATTATGACCACTGTTTCATCTCGTCTGCCTAAGATCAATTCACAACGTGGGTAGGCAGACTGGAGATCAATGCAGTTACCTTGGTAACCAGGCGTTGGAAGCGAGTTGGGAACGACGAGGCTGATTTAAATTTTAATTTAACCAGATCCCACCCGAATCACCAAAAGGTTAGAACGTCACATTTGGGTGCCGCGACCGATACCAAAAAAGTTGGTCGTCACAGGACGAGACAACACGACTGACGCGACAGGCGGACGTCACGTTTGGAGCAGCGACACCCGAACGGAGCAGCGAGGAGCGAACGGCTGGCGCCGCGGCGAGGACGTCACAGTTGGTGCTGTTTAGGGACGTCACAGTTGGTGCCGTGGTAGACCAGAATAGAACGTCACAGTTGGCGCTGCGACCAGGGGACGACATCACAACACCAACATAAGAATTAAGAATGCCATCTTCTTTTTCTTTTTCTTCTCCTCCTCCTCCTCCTTCTCCTCCAAATATCTCTGGGTAAGGCTTAATTTTGATATTACTGCTAACAAGTATAATATAATGATATCAAATATGATGATAATCTAGTGTTAATATATGATATGTTCGCAGTCAGTCTGTTTAATAGTAATGTCTTATTACCAGTTTTTACCACAAGAAATAGTCAACTGCAAAGCGGCGATCAGTTCTAAGATTTTCCATTACAAAGCCGAATAGGGTTTCCTTCTTTTTTTCTCTTTTTTAATTTATTAAATTAGTTTTATGCTGGAAGTATTCCGAAGAATTATGCGGATGGGAACATCTCTAGGGGTTGTTTTTCTAGAATATCGGATTTTTTTTTCGGTCACAATAAGTCATCAATTTGGAACTTGGCGACATCATTGGGAACTGCAGTCATGCTCTAAGCCGTCTGGACTGATATTTCTACCACATGTATTTGTCTCCCCATGTAATAGTACTATTTGCGATCTTTGGATTTTAGAAAGTGACAAGTATTTTGCCCATATTTAACGTATAAAAACTTTCTGAAAAACATTCTTAGGACTTCACTGTATTTAAAATAGGCAAAATACTGTGTTGCAGTTTCTCAAACTTGATGATTAACATCACAGTATGTTTTCACTAATTAAAAGTCGATGATTCAATATCCCGCAATAATAGAGAAATATAAATGTTTTTCCAGGTGGATTTAAACTTTTTTTTTCCCAAGATAGTCATATTAAACAAACATTTTGTAACAATGCCATACCTAATCACATTATTGGTGAAGAAATAAAATTATTTTAAAAACATAGTGATATGCATAAGAAAACTGATATAAACAACAGCAAAAGCAACTCATTTATGTTATTGTAACCAGATGCGCTCCAATTACATACAACTATAATTCATAAATATGTATAGAGGTTTATCCTTGTTTCCTGTTTAGGTTTACGTTTCCGCTTACTTCTAAAGTCTACTTCCGCTCTGTACTCCTGACGTTTCTGCCTGAAATCTAATATTTTATTCACTAAATATTTATTTTATTTTATTTTATTTAATCTCCTCCAACAATAAGAGTACACAGATTTCCTTATCGTCTGGTTCACGCTTCTTCTCGGTCTTTCAAAGAGTAGAGGCTTATCCTTTGTTCCCTGCTTTGGTTTGGGGTTTCCGGTTCCTTCTAAATATACTTCAGCTCTATTTTCCTAAAACTTTCCTTTCCTACGCTAATATGAGTAGTAACTTTCTATCTTGAGTGGCTCTTTGGCCTAGCATTAGACGAATATTAGTACAAAATATAAATCGTTCGGGCACAACAACTGAATATTCATCATACACTACAAAAACACTTTCAACCATGACAATATTCCTTCACAAAACATTATTTTTTTTTCTCTTTACCCAATCAGTCTTTAGTTTCATTTGTTTCTGTCGATTAAATATCAACATTGAGTAGTTATAATATAATATTTTTTCGAGAAAATTGTTACTTATTCTCTCTCTGCAAAGTGCTATATGTAAACATATAACTCAAAATCATGACGCACTTTTTATTTTCGTTAGATTTCTGTCGACAGTACTACAGTTTCCTGTCACAGCAACTGTAAAAAACATTAAAATACTGCAAGCCCTTTAAACCAAAAGAAACCAGCCTCTATCAATTTCACCTGAAATAAAACATTATATTTGACAGTGAGAAATTTACCAACGTGCTTATGAAACAACTTTATAAGGATGAAGCGCTTGCAGTCAAAAGTAAAACATTTTCATGTAAAATTTAACTCTGTCCTATTTTTTATAAATTTATATATACGTCTATGATTGGTTTATATTTCCAGAGTATTTATATTTGTTTTATATATATATATACATGTATGTATATATGAGTGTAGCTTATAAACGCGCATTTATCGATTTATGTATGTGTATGTCTGAATGTGTGAGTGCATGTGCATGATGCGTATATATATATATATATATATATATATATATATATATATATATATATATCAAGAGAGAGAGAGAGAGGAGAGAGAGAGAGAGAAGAGAGAGAGATTACTGAGGGGAAATGATGTACGAAAATAACAGAATTTACATCATAGGCTTTGAAAAAGTAATAAAAATGTCGGTGAACTGAGGGTGTGTGAAATGAAATCCAAGAAAAAGTCGAAACAAATCGGGCGAAATTTTCATGTCGAAAATAAGTGACGTGTTTACAGATTCTGGTGTAGAAAGATGAGGAGACTTAAAAGACAAGAGAAAAAAGAAGCACGACATGGCGAGATAACGAAATTGATGGCTGACTCTAGACGGAGCAGATGAAGAGAATGAAAGAAAGAGAGTAAAAGAAAAGGAAATGAAGTAAATAATAAAGAAAGAAAACAAAAGGAAACAATGAGAGAAAACTTAAATAAAGAAGAAATAAAAGAACAGAAAAAAAAAAACGATAGAAAAGAAATATCAGAAAAAGAAGAAAAATCCCTGGCGAAAATAAATGAAAAAAATTTTAATGTTGCAAAAGAAAGAAGACAGTGAATAAGATTAGGAAAAATAAAATCAAATAAATTCAAAATAAAATAAATAAATAAACAAATGAATAAGAGGTGATGAACTAACAATGCCTGTCGTTTGCGTCGTCGAAATATATGTTCATATGAGTTTATTTCTTTATTTATCCTCTCTGTCAATCACTTCACTTCTCTCTCTCTCTCTCTAGCTCTCTCTCGTTTTATCTATTTATAGATCTATTTATAGAGCTATCTCTTTTTTTTTACTCCCCAGAGCAACCCGCCTGTTATCGCCACCTGATCATTCTGCCTTCCGTCATCGCTTCCTCTCGAACATTTTCAACAACCCTTCGATTTGAAACTCCTGTTGAAATAAGAAGGTCCTTTTAAACTTTCCACAAATTTAATAAATATTCTAAATAAATTGGAGGCTGCATTTAAACAAAAGACAAAACCGGAAAAGTGGAATGATTTTTTTCTTGTTTAATTCTTCCTGTAAAATAGGATGAAGTCAATAATATACCCACCCACCAGTCCAAATTGAATATATTGAGTGTACTAAAAATTGAGAGGTATTTGAGCAAGGTGTAAATTCATTTGAGAATTACAGCAGCCTATAAAAGCTAATCATTAGAAACCATTCAAGTTATATAAGCAACGGTAATCATATTTTACAAATATTACTAAAAAATTAAAAATAATTGACAATGTTTCATCTGAAAAATTCAAAGATATTTACATCTAATACTAATCACGTGGGAAAATAACATGATGTTGAAGTGAAGATTGAATTTGAATAGCTCAAACTTGTTAACTTTCAACGTTTATACGGCAAGGTGCTGTCTCAGTAAGACGTTTTTCCATAGAAAAAGGACGCGAATTTTAATCTTACTAGAAGCTTATTCGTGATTTCTATCTAATACTCTCGTAAAACAATGGTTTGAGAGATGCGATACAAAAGAGGAGAAACAAGATGAACAATTTACAAGTCAAAAATATTTTGTTTCTAAAGCTGTTTCTTATCAACAAACCCTAAGTTTATTCCTATCCGGATGAACGTTTGTTCTGCTAATGAGTCTCCTTGCCAAAACTTACATGGAACGCGTACATTCCCACCACCGCCAAAGATGCTGGGAAAACGGTTAATTCCTTGTACTGCTCCAGAAAGTACTCCACCAACCATGCTCTATCTTTACAAGAGCCAGATCAGAGCGAAAATGAACTATTGCTGCCACATCTGGGCTAAAGCTGTCGAAAGCGTTTACGCGCCCTTGATGTTAATTCATTATTTTAAACCTTGCAATCATTTCCCACCCAGGGAAACCTTGATAACTTCTCGCTACACTTTCATTATTTCCATGGAAAATGTTCAGACCAGATACATTCCTTAACCCACCTGTCCAGACCTTCATCGCTAGGGCGCGCCATAGCAGAGTACAAATGATCGATTTATTTTCATTCTCTCCGCATTCCATTTGTAAGGAGGAAGTTCCTGTCAAGTTTCTTCTCGAGAACTGTTAATTTTTGGAACAGTCTCCGTTATCACTACAATCTTAACTTAAAGTTTAGAGTCAACCATTATTTATCCTGCATTATGATCTTACAAGCTGTCTACCTATTGATCAGTAGTATAAAACGATGTATTTGACACAAAAAATCGAAAGCAGTCAGCAGGAATTTAAAGAAAGCAGATTCATTTGGATATAAGCAAAGCCACAATGACTTGAGTTCAACCACATAATCGAATGGTACCAGACAAAAGTTGCCCTAGAAACAAAAATAAGTTTCTCTATGAGGTCCAGACTGTCTGTTCCATCCAAACAAGGAGAGATCAAATCTTATCATCGGAAAGGAGGAAAAGATAACCAATGAAATTAAATGACAATTTCAAAAATACAAGGACTACTCACAGAAGCCAAGAGGTACATATGAAAGTTAAGTTGGTGAACAAAATAATTTGTGCACTTGGAATTGTAACAAAAACAAAAGCTGGAAATTCAAGCACAACTTTCCTGTCCCTCGCCCCCACGGTGATACTGGGATCAGCAAGGTTACGAAGGATGTTGGCGGAGAATTGCTGTCACTTAGTCTTGAACGACAACCACTAAACATCTCAAGTAAACATGCAGATGACAAAAACAGCAAATAATAAGATGCTACTCGGGAAAAGCTCTCGTGGCTTCTGTTCTTAATTGACTGTAGGTGTCAATATGTTTTATTTTGCTTAATTATGATAAGATACAATAAATACAGCTTCCTTGCCTTAACCAGTGAGGCATGATCGTTATGAACTGATCCGCAATGTGTATATGAGAGTCAGAGCCTCATAATCGGATGTTAAATGGTTTATTTTGTTTGTTTTTTTTTAATATTATTTGAACTTCATGGATCCTTCAAAAGATATAAAGAAAAATCATTGCCTCATTTTCTGCGATACACAAGCATATATTTTGCTTCACAAATTTAATTACTTAAAAACTAAAAAAGGACGGTAAAGTTTCATATGATCGCATATTTAACGGTCACTTCGTTGGAGATGTGATATAATCTGAACCATGAAAATTCTTAAATGACAAAAAATGATTTTCATATGATATTCATATTTACTTTGATATTTCGATGTTTACTGACATCATCTTCAAATTTTGAAAGTTAATGTTCCGATATCTAAATATTAACACATGTGATTGATAAAAGAATATTGATTAAAAGCAAATTCTTTGGAATTGCCTTCATATATATAATAATGGACTCTCCCCGTCAATTTCGACGTATGAGGATTTGACAGCTTAAATGACTCATTTATGAAATGTTAAATGATAATAAGTGGTACGTAAAACCCACTAGTGATTTACAATGGAGCAAGAGTGAGGATTGTGAGATGAGATGACTGCTAGATTGGCTGACCTTTTAGATCTTGCTCTAGTTCTTGAAGATGATTCAGACAATCAGATTGAAAACTGCTGGGTCCACTAAAACACGTTGATCTCCATTCTACACGCTCCATGGCTTATATATATATATATATATATATATATATATATATATATTGCATTTTTCTTTATATATCAGAAAAGACACCCAAATATATTTAAATAATTTTAGGGAATAATTCCTATTTCCTTTAGTAACCGTGTGATCAAATTTGGTTTCTTTGAATTTGTTCCATTTGAACGGTATTCAAAATTGGCTGAAGTGCCCGCAAATGAAGAGATCAACTTAGATCCAAGCTGGTCATAATGGTCATAATGGAAGAATTTTTTTTATTGTCACGGTTAAGATAGTAAAACGCCATCCGAGTCAAGTTAGGCGAAACTATTGTATATAAGCTCTCCTGATGATTGCGTTCAAAAATAAAAGAGACTGCCACCGTTGGGTGTTGACTTCAATATCGTCTTTTATATTTACATCCACTCTATCCCTGATATTGAGCACTTTAACCCACAAATATAGCATACATAAAATAAATTCAATGTATAAATAATAAATGTCAAAGTCAATATGCGATTAATTTTACAACTTTCATATTGTCATTATTCCCAAGCACCAAGGTTCATTTTCAGTAACTCAGTACATGTACAGTAACGACGTAATAGCAATTAGTGACGTAATATATCCCTGGACACTTTCTAATGAAGAAATACTATGAAAAGTAGAAAATATATTTTGAATAAGTATTTTTGTTGTCCAGTTCTCATAATGGTGTTTGCGTAAAATACGGCAGGTCAAGTGTTTGCATTTTCAGGAATATCTCTTTGAAATAAACCTTTGAATTATTACCGTTATATGTACGCCTGTGTGATATATACAACAATCATCCTTCATAGGTTCAGTAACAAAAGGCAACTCGCCGTGAATAAGGCCCTTTACATAAAACACATTGCAACCAGTATAAATCTCAACTTATTCAGCATCGGGAATGGAGTGTTGAAGGTTTTTCTTTTAATTGAAAGACGCCAACTCGAATTACAGCCACGTTCATTTCGCAGGCCTCATAATAAAAGCTACTACTATTCTGGCATCACAAAAACTACATCTTAAACAGAAAAACATAAAAAAATTAACAAAATTTAACGACAAACCCGTTGAAAATGGTTAAAGAATTAATGGAAAGCTATTAGGATTAATAGAGATTATCGATATTTTTAACACTTTCTTACATCCACCAAATGGCAATATTAGAAAAAATAAATAAAAAATTCTCTTTTCTGTCATATTCAACGAAACATGTTTGAAAGAGAGGTTGCTGTACAAATATACATTTTATATATGTATATATTTTTACATTATGACAGTTATCTACTGTCAATTCCCCTCTCAAAGTTCTCCACCGCCTTAGCCAGGTATTGAACTCACAGTATTTGGGTACTGTCAGTTGATCTAACTAACTCATTTATCCACTGAGCCATGTGTCCTTGGCACAGGACCCAAAGAGTGTGAGTTCAATACCTGGTTAAGGCGGTGGCGAACTTTGAGAGGGGAATTAACAGAAGACATCCATAAGACATGTCACGTGAAACTAGAACAGTCTACCCCAGTGAGCGAAATAAAGGGTTCAGTTCGACATTCCAACCACCTGAAGAAGGCTGGAGCGCACAACATTGTGATAAACATGGCGACAAAGATGAGGATAATAGTCCGAATAATGTAAATAGTGTACATAATACCACATCTCAGAAATATAGACATATATATATATATATATATATATATATATATATATATATATATATATATATAGAGAGAGAGAGAGAGAGAGAGAGAGAAAGAGGGAGGGAGGAAGGGGCAAATTTCTTTAGTGATGGGTTTAATACATCAGTTCGGTGTTCTGGAGTGCAAGATGAGGCCAAAACAGAAAGACTTGAAGAGCAATTTTTAGGCCCTCCACAATTTTACGTCCATTTTCTACTTTTATGTTGGAATCAACAGACAAACACATACATGCGCAGATATTCATGCACACACATATACGCATGCACAAATACACACGTGTGTGAAAAGGACTGGGTAAATCGCGATTAATTTTCGAAATTTCGCAGATAAATATCCTTTTGATTTTTCCTTCTAAAAGAAGGATATTTCGCACAACTTGTATCGACCGAAACTCACGCGAGAGTATACGAGACCACGCGAGATCGATCACGCAAGATCGTAAAAGTTGATTTATTTTTAATTCTTTCTCACAACATCAACGTAAGGAAAATGAATCACGATATATCAGCCCATCCCTCTTATGTCGTCTCGATTCGTACAAAACCTTTTATAGCTTTCTTATCAAAATATTAAATTACCGAGAAAAAATCCGACTGGTCAAGTTGATCAGTCACGTCATCTGTGTATGCTCATGTAAGAGTCGAATTAAATGATAATAGAAGAAACACAAAACAAACTAATGTATTGGTGCGTGCGGAAAATGGGTGTCGAATTATGATACATGGGTCAGGGTTTCACAAGGTTGAAATCCACAAATGACAGGAAGGTCGAGGATTTTTTTAGCTTCAATTATGAAAACTTCTCCAAAAACTCCGAAGAAAGAAAATTTGAACTAACCTATCTATATAATATAATAAATATATTAATTATATAATAATATATAATATAATTAATGTATTTGCGTATTTTTGCCTGTAAAGTTTTGTTGTAATAAAGAAAAGGGATATATAAAATAATATTTCAAATGCCGTCTGGATTCGAACGTTGTAGGTAAATGTCATATCTACAATATTAGTTTTCTTCTACTTGAACTGTGTGGTGAAATTAACGGTCAAATATTGTTGGGGAAAGCACACCGATACTATGATGATCGTAGACAGAAGTATAGATACATAATGTAAATACTACAATATTTTTACGGGTACTATGCTTATTTACGTATTTACAAACTCACATGTAAAAATAATAACATGGACTCGAAAAAGGACTCATTTTTTATGGCATATGTAAAATAGAAATGTAAAGGTGTGCAGTGTCTTCAGCAGATGAAGCGACGTGCATAAATACTAACATGTCCTGGGTAAGACGTTAAACTACATCCAACATCATGACCTCTGATAGGCAGATGTTGAGGAGCGTAGAGCCAACTCTTAGTTACTGGCGTTCCCATGTCAACCATGACCCGGGGTGGTAGCACCTGTTAGGGTCCCAGCTATGGGTAAATAGTTGCACCCCCAACAAACTGGACTCAAAGTACTATGAAAGTGTAAAATAGGTTTTAATACCAGGAATACATTTTTGTGAAAATTATTACCAGCAATATATTTTTGTAAAAAATATTCTCAGCAATAAAAATCTTGTCGGCATTAAATAACACACTGAGTTTGATATGCCGTAAAACAAACCAAACGAAACCAGTAAATACCAGCAGACACGGGCTTGAGCTAATAAAGTTCTTTCAAAATGTTCACAGTTTGAATATTATAATCCACATGAATTTTATATTACATATACGCTGGTATATTTTATATTATTTACACCAATGTACAATGTACCAACAAGTGACTGTTCAAACTATGAAATATATTATTCTTTGCAAGTGTTCTAACTTAAATTTCTCTTTTATTTATAAAATAACGTTTGGTGGACTAAGTAAATAGAAGGTCGTCGAGATCAGTAGAATGTGATATCTGAAGACCTATGGTTCTTGGGTCTCTGGGAAATGATATGAAAAGGATCAGACACTTACGTCAAATACATGGCCGCCTTAAAATATATGAATTGCGAAAAAATTATACACCTCATGACATCTCATCTGTTGACAAATTCTAATGCAAAAAGGCTTAAGGACAACTCGTACTACCCAAAGCAAAGGTAAATAATAATAATAATAATAATAATAATAATAATAATAATATAAAATTCGGCATGATAGAGTGGACCAATATCTGCACTGAAAAATCTGCAACTTCTACGGAAAGGAAACTGCAAGAAACTGGTAAGAACATCACCCAAACCCGGTTATAGTGGTAGGACCTGGAACAATTTTGTGGAACTTTACAATACACACAGACAGAACAACAAAACTAATCGCTCAGACATCGTGATCAAAGACCACAAGAACAGAATCTTCTTTCTTACTAAAATGACAATCCCTGTAGATTGTAATTTATCTTTGAAGTTCTTCAAAAGACTATCAAAATAAAAGGATCTTGAAGTGGAAGTCTCAAAAATGTGGCGCATAAGGACATAAATCCAGTTGTGGCATTGAATTTCACTTCGTTCTTTTATTTTGTCTTTATCTTGTAATTTGCTAAATGAACTACGTGTACGAAATCTACGAGATTTTCTTTCTTTAAAAAGATTCCGTCTTCTTCATTTCATAGACTTAATCGGTAGGGAGATCTTAACCTCACAGACTATTTGTTTTTTTTTTATATTGTTTTAATATTTTATGTTTTCAGTAGTCAGTGGTTTTCTGCTCATGTTTACAGGATCGAATCAAAGCATAATATTCAATGTATCAAATTTCTTACCATGAAAATGTCTTTTTATCTTTTTATTAATCATATTTTTTGTTGTTAATATCGAAGAAAAACGTGAAGAACAATTCTAATTTTATGGAAAACAAGAAAAAGTGATTATAACGATTATTGGTAGATCGAAAACCATATTCCCCCTGCCTGTTGCACCGCAATCTCTTTTCTTTCGAAATAATAAGTCACCTATTATCTTGGATTAATGTTAGACAATGTTGACTACATAGACTACTGAAGTGAGTTCGATCCTCACTGGAATTCAGTAGTGGTCTTCTGCTAAGCGCAGCCCAGCTTTTATATAATTGAATGGTTGACGACAGAGGCGTAGTTGCTGATATAGTTTCCTGTATTTAATCATTGTCATTATTCATTCATTCTTTTGTATGTTCCCATCAGATTCTGGTAAGAACAGAGGTCGGCTGCTAATTGCTTCCAAATCCCTACTACCCTCGCCAGGCCTAGGGTTTATACAATCTTAACCCGACTTCGGATTCATTATTTTTAAGCGTTTAAATCAAATTCACTTCTTATTGATAGAATGTTATCATCACTGTTTCATGTATTCTTCCTAGCTTCACCTAATGAAAGAAGCGGAAATAATTCTGTAATTAGCAGTTAATAGAAATGGGGTTTATAGCTCCTGCACATTTTTATGTTGAATTCGCTAATTAAAAATTAATTTTAAATCGTATTAATACGATTGTGAAAAGTATGAATCCTTTTCTCCTCCCAGCTATGGGTAAATAGCAGGAGAGACCGGGGTCTATAGCCTTGGATGGCAACTGGCCTACCGCAGAAAGGAATGGCAACCTACTGCGGAAAAAATCTGGTTAAGCGTGTATCACGCATGGCACATAACTGAATGACTGTAAATCGTAGCTTCACTTGACTAAAATTTATTTTGTTCTTCTTAGAGTATTTTACTAGTATTGCGCTGAGAAAGTCGCGGTATGTGCCGTTTTTTCGTGTTTTCAGTAACAAAATAACAAACACTGAAATCATATTATTATTATTATTATTATTAAAAAGACGGAAAAGAAGAAACTGGCAAGCACTTCGTGTCATTACTGTTAAAATTACCGAACAGATGCAGGCTGTCCTTCTTTGGAGTCAACTATTACTAAGACTACTACGAATAAGAAAGTTAAGAAATGAAATTATGCAGATGATTTCAAGAGAAAAATAAAGAGGAAAAGTTCGGACTTGCCTGGCACGGTGCCCTGTCGTCTTTTTCTACTAAACTGAAATTAGCGTGCGGACGTGTCACGCTTTTTTGAAAGAAGAATTTTTACACTTTTCCGGTTTTAACCTTTTCTACTTCCTTCATCAGATTTTTGATTTCATTTTTCGTTCTCCTTCCACTGATTTTCTTTCTCGCCTCTTTTTTTTTAAATTCTCCTTCAGTTTCTCTTTCTCCTTTTTCTTTTCCACTTCTTTTCTTACATTCCCTTTTTCTTTCATCAGATTTCTGTTGAGGTATTTTGGCGATTATGCAACAGTTGATGGTATTAATAACCATACATTAACCCTGACTGCAATTGTATTTTTCATCGTTTTATAAGATTTTACAAGTACAAAGCAGTAGGGTTGTCGTTCTAAATAGATATACAGAAAACTCAACGTTTTTAGGCTTAGTCTTTAATTTCGGTTATCCGCGCTGAACCAGTGCACTTTAATATTGAATTCAGAATTTATTTTACCTACATTTAAATTGTAAATGACAACAAACAGGGATCTCACGTACTGCCAAAAAATCTACACCAATGTCAAAATAATATTTATTTAATGCAGAGTATGGCTTCCATCATATATTTTAAAACTCTTATGAACCAAAAATCGTAAACCAAGCCTGTTATGTTTCACATTTCTTTCAAAAATCTCATAACGATAGAATCGGGGTTGCTTTTTGGCGGTGATAATGACAGAGGATGAGCTGGTGTTGGTTGTACTGATAAAGAGGAATGGTGTTGACGGCAGTGATTACCTTTTAGCTATTGTAGCTATCAGCAGTAGAAATGTGAGGATATTAGTGAATGTTAGTGATATGAGAGTAGCAGCGTCAATGGGAACGGCAGAGGGAGAGATTCGTTGGAAATGGATGGGACGTGACAGTATGGCGGTAGGAAAAAGTTGACAAGGATTTGCAGCGATGATGGCGACTAGAGTTGTAATTTCTACGGTGAACGCTGCTACGAGTGTGGGGTTGGAGTTAGCGGTAGTGAAACTGGTGATGGTGGACCGATTGCATTGTTGTTATTGACGTCGTGATGGTAGTGGGTTCTTGATAAGATGGATATCTGCAACAGTGAAAAGTAAGACGAAGGTGGCGATAGTTGTAGTTAGAATATCAATAAAAATTGTGGTCTTGGTGTACAGTGGCGACGAATGCGTCGGCGCCATCTTCGCTGAGGTGGTGTGGGAGATTGTTTTTGTTACTGCAGCGACGACAGCGTCGGCGACCATGACGTAGAAAGCAAACACATCAAGAGATGGCTGGGTGTGCCGATCGTTCGTTCAAGTCTACGGCGACAATTCGATTAGCGCTTTTTTCCTAATTCGATTTTCCTAAGAGAAATCGATCGATCAGATTGTGTGATTGATCATATTTTTTGCTGGGTTTTAACTCACGGCGAATGTTTATGAACATTAGCCGATATACGGACACACACGCAAGCATATCTTTCTTGTTTTACTTTTCATTAAAATGAAAGAAAGACGTATGGTCCTTTTCGTCAATGTTTGGAGTGAATATATATTATGGAGACATATTGCAAAGTATATGTTATGAGAAGGACAATCATCCTGGTAGACATTCTGCAGATAATCATAGGTTTACTGAAGCGAAATCTATTATAGAATAAAAATTCAATAACTGCGCGTGAACCGATTCAATGTTTCGTCAGTCATCTTCAGTTGTTTCCAGATTTTATTTGATCTGGAACTAGAAATTATCATAAGCAATGAAAATCTTCAAATTTCTGAGAACCGCATATATATATATATATATATATATATATATATATATATATATATATATATATATAGATAAAAAATCAAATGTCGATCAAATACGTATCGGAATCCGACAGAATAAAGAACAAATAGGAAACGTATATCAATCTAAAATTATTTCAAAATGACAGAAATACTAGCATTTTCAATCATGCTTGTGGCAGTACTCATTGGTCACGTGTATTAAAACCTTGGACAATTCAATGTGAATATAGGTTTGTGTAGGCAATGAATGATAATAATAACTTTACTAAAAACTATAAACACACGCCTAAAATATTGTATTATATCTGTGAATCCGTTTCTAAAGAATCTAACTTTTATCTATCTAATACAAAGAATACATTCTTAAAGGAGAGAGCCATAAAGTAAAACCCTGTGATGGAGCTTAAATAAAAGGGAAGCATTTTAGATTGATATACGTTTCCTAATTGTTCTTTTATTACTTCAAAGATATATATATATATATATATATATATATATATATATATATATATATATATATATATATATATATGCATACATAAACACAAGTAAACCAAATAAAAATCAACAACAATAGAAGGATCAATAATAATTTTTTAAAACAGTTCAACACTATAAATAGGCAAAATAGTACATCCAGATCCACAATTATTTTCACTAAAAAGACGATAGAATAATTCGAAACGTAACCTTTACCGCCAACCAAAATAACCGCTAGAATAACACAACAGACTATACAGAATGCATCACTGTCCTGTATATATAACACATAAGGCCTGACGATTGCGTTCAATCGTGAAGCAGGCAGTCGCTGCTAGGTGTTGAATTCAATACCCAGTTTTATATTTAAATACGCTCTACCCCTGATATTGAACACTTTCACCTATAAATATAGCATACCTTAAAAATTATATATTAACATATAGTGTGCGGTGTGTGTTTTGCATAATCCAATTTTTTTGTTTTTTTTGTTTTCCGGAATTTATATCGTTCTTGACCGAATGAGTCAATGATGACAAAAACAAACAAAATGGAAGACATTTCCTAATTAATTGACCAAATACTCAGAATATGCAGGACGAATAAATGTATAACTGACAACAAAGAAACTATCTCGAGGAAAGGCATGAATAAAAAAAAAGAAGTGGCTGACAAGTTGAAAGTAACCTAATGACAAATAACGCCAGGAAATGTTGAACATATGAAATTTTAAAAAACATCAGAAATAAGTGAAAGTAATGTACATAGATGGAAAAACTGCAGAACATAGAAGTAGTAGGTATTCACAAGGCGGTCTCAAAATTGCAATGGATAAAACGTGCGCTTCGGCAGAATGTATAAAATATAATGCGGAGAATAATGATGGGAAAAAGAAAGAAGCTAGGTGTGAATCAATGCGAACTCCATCGAACAATCAACTTGAGGAGCCACATAACAAAATTGATTATCAGTAGAATAGGACAAGGAAAATGTGACATTGTTTAAGACACTGGGACAAGAAATACTTTTTAACGATCAAAATGCGATTAGAGCGAACAATAGAGGTGTAGAAAAATCCTATGACGATGTTTTCTGCATTACACAAAGACAGTCAATAGAATACGACACGAGGAACAGATTGAAAATTTGGCCTACACAAAAAGGTATTAAAATAATTCGTAATACGTACTAGGTACAAATATTTTATACGTGGATAGAGAGAAAATTCAGTGAATACAAAAATAGAAAGAAGATTACGAAAAGGATATGGTAAATTCAGAATTATTGAAGAAGATAGTCGACGAAAACAAGAAAAAAGATTGTCAAAGAAATCCAGAATCAAATGATGGTTATATTATGCAGTCATAACAACATTAAAAGTTTCCCTCTCAATGATTATACACGTACTCTATGTTTTTTAGTATGATTACTTTATATATGCACAAAGAGCAAATGTGATTTAAAAAAATAATCAAATTAAGTTTGGATTTAAAGACCCTGAGATTACTGAATGTCCAATTAATAACTCTAATCTCCCTCCCTCTATCATATTTTTCAATCTCTTTCTCTCTGGCTTTCTCTCTCATATATATATATATATATATATATATATAGGTCAGTAACTCGTTGGTATATAATCCAAGTGAATCCTAATAACACAACATAAAATATTAAATATTAAAACTGATTCACACAAAGAACTCAATGTTATTTCATTAAACACAGCTACATATTTCGTACAATCGGAATTAAGAAAATCTTATGTAAATAATTTTGACCTTGTAAAATTGAAATAAAAATAAAATTTACAAGGATTCTTCAATTTTTTTTCCTTCTCTAACCATTTTTATTTCTTTGTTTTATTATCCATTGACTGTTTGAAGAATCCTTGTAAATGTTTTTATTTCAATTTTACAAGGTGAAATGATGTGAAAATGATCATTTACATAATATTTTTTTAAATTACGATTTTTTAATATATATATATATATATATATATATATATATATATATATATATATATATATATATATATATATAAGAGATGTGTAGATATGCCAAATGCTATGTTTTGCTGGAGTTGGAGAATTATTTGCGTTTTGTGCAAAAAAAACGTGGTTCTAATTACTATCTGTTTAAAATATAATCTGGTTGGTTGATTATAATCACGTGATCAGGCATAGTAATTTTAGCGCCAAAAATTGATGAACATAAGATTTTCTTGTCAAAAATTGTGTTCATGCATGAAACAGATTAGTGCTGACCTTAGGGTCCACTTTTATATTTGCATACGCTCTATTCATGATATTAGGCACTTTTACCAATAAATATCGTACACGTTTGGTAAGAGGAATCAGTGTTAAATTTCTGAAGTTCATTCATTTTTTCGCCGTTGTTATTTTGAGCACTACGTTTCGCTCGGTTACTGATTTGCCCATCTTCTGTTAGAATTGGTTTTCACCAATTTTCTAATCTTTTCTACTTAAATACTTCAAAATCTGCCTGACACTTGGAATATTTATTGATATTTTCTATCCGTCTTATTTCCTTTTCTTTTTTCTTTACCATGAACGTTTTCTTTCCGTCGTTTACTCTTGGATTTCTTTCTTTCTCGTGATATCTATAAAAAAATAAAAATCAACTTAGAAATCCAATCATAGATTTTCAGTTCCATACTAACATGAGAGCGATGTACAGGGATCAATAACACAAAAGTTTCCACACTCAAAATGAATGCACTCATATCGTCGCTCCATGAGCATCAACAATATCCTCGGTATAGTCAAACATCTGCACAAAAAATAGTAAAAACAACAAAAAAGCGGTATATTTTTTTAAAAATATAAAATAAATAAAAATAAAATATGGAGATATATGGTTAATGTTTGGAATGAAAAGTCCTGCGAGATATTTCAAGTTTATCAGGATAGCATTCTGCTTAAAACAGAAAGAATGTTTTTCTGACTCACTTTTGTGTACCTAATACAACTTCTTGAAAGAATAGCGATGAAAATTACAAGGAAAATTCAGTAGCGATCAAGAAAACAAAGTAAGAATATTGTTAAGGAACTTTGCCTACTGACCTGAAGCTATTAGGGTGTGGTGGATATATATGATATCGTTAGAAGAAAAGCTTCTTTTAATTTTCAGTCATTTACAAAAGTACAAAGAAGTTTTATCTTGACATCAAAGGAAACGTCGTGTAAAAAAGATCATTCCACTTCAAGTTCGATGGCATTATTTCCTAATCATTTTCAGAGCGAAATATTGGCTGTAGAAAAATATTTTTATTAGATTATCCAAAAATCGATAGGAATCTGAATTCACTTGTGATAATCACTTCAGTTGGCAAGATAATATCAGTGATATCTCATTTAGAAAGGATTGATGTGTGGAGATTGTGAAGCACCATGCTTTTGCCCCAATGCAAAATGCCTCCTTCAAATAACATCAAAATCCGACGACGGCAAATTTGAAAATACAAATATATTGAGAATTGGCGAAATATAACTGATTCCATGAAAATTCCAATACCCCTTCTCAATCTTAGGCGCTGAAGAAACACACACACACATACACACGCACACACACACACATACAGACAAACACACATACACACACTATATATATATATATATATATATATATATATATATATATATATATATACAAACTGTGAACAAATTAAGTATAATTTCACCGTACGTAACATTTAATTTAAAAGAGGGTTCAATACAGAGTAGAGTTAAATATTATTTATTTTAGGATATTAAAACAAAAACATGTTAAAAATCGCTATACAATTACAATCATGCTTATAAACACCACAAATGTAACATCACCCAAGGCACACATTTATTCTGTTGAAACAAGTTTGCAATTGTGTAGCGATTATTAACATGTTTTTGTTTTAATATCCTAAAGTTTATCCACACACACACACACACACAAAATCGGTCCGATGGGTAAACTCTCGCCATTTTATA